GGATTCCCAGAATTCCTAGTCAGATGCAGTCTGAGCACATCTGGAGGGGCCAATCTGAGACAATGTTCCTTACCTGACCCTGTTTGCAACTTAAAGAAAAAAAAAAGCAATAAAATAATTGATTTCTGATTTAGGGGAGAAACAAATTGGATGGGGAGTGACTCTCACCCTACCACAAAAGTGTCAAGTTCAAACTCCCAGGATTTCCAGATGTGGCTGGGACAGAACCTTGAAGTTACTTCTAGAGAGTTTTAGCTGGAGATTCAACACCTCCCACGACTCAGTACAATCCCCAACCCCCAAAGCTTTCAACAGTTGCTGCCAAATTGTAAGGGTCAGTATAAGAGAAGGGGAATTTTAGTTCAAGCCCAATGTCTTTCCTGCCCAAACGCTTCTCCCCCACCCCCAGCACACCACTGAAAGCCCAAGCATGTCCTTTGCGCCCCCCCTTCCCCAAATGCAGGGTCCTCTTGTTAGAGATGGATCTGTCCATGTGCAACTCTGATATAAGGCTGTTTTCTGTGTTTCTATATTCACCCATTATCCAGAAGAACAGAGGCTGAAATCTTAGTATAGGTAGCCCTCACTTAACGAATACAATTGGGATCAGAATTTAGGTCGCTAAGCGATGTGGTCATTAAGTGAATGATCACATGACCAGACCCGATCTTACGACCTTTTTTGCAGTGGTCATTAAGTGAATCATGTGGTTCCCCATTGCTTTTGCTTGCTGGGAAGGTGGTAAATAGCAATCACATGACTGGGATGCTACAACTATCATAAGTGCAAGCTGGTTGCCAAGTGCCCAGATCATAATCATGTGACTGCGGGGGGGGGTGCTGTCATGTTTGTAACTTTGGGCACAGGTTGTAAGTAACTTCTTTAGCGCTGTCATAACTTTGAATGGTCACTAAATGAATGGTCATTAAATGAGGACTACCTGTATCAGAGAGAGAGAGCCCCAGATTCAATCTCTACCTGAGAAACTCCAGATGAAGTTGGAAAAGTCCTTGCTCAAAACTGAGGAGAGATCCTCAAATCAATGGCTGCACAGCACATTCAACCAGGCCAGTTAAAGCCTTAGCAGATGCATTCGTATAACCAGCAATGCTGATTTGTTGCTTGGCGGCTTAGGGGGTGACCCCAGCCTGTTGGTTAGATGATGACTTCAAGTAGTGTGCAAACTGGATTAATTGACCACATGAAGGGCATTGAGCAGACTCAGCCAATGTAGCCCAGTCTTTCCCAGCTTGGGGACGTATAATTATATAGGACAAAGATTTGTATAATGCTCAATCCCAAGGCTAATAGCAATGGAACACAAAAGCCATAAACCTCAACACTTTCCTCCAGGCTTTGATAGATAGTCCATAAAATCCTTAACTTAAAAAAACCTACAAACCCAATAACTCAGCAGAATAAAAGGCAGCCCAGCATCGAGGCCCAAACTCCTGGTGAGTACGATCCACGAGCATCTTCTCGGCATCTAAGGGGGCTACACAGAAGCTGTGTTCCATGAACTGCAATGCAAGGTTTTATGCTCCAGGAACTCAAACTGCGGATTTTTGATATTCTTTTCAACAGATTCTCCACCCCAAATCTCCTGTCAACAGGACAGAACTACAACAGGGTCGTTTATCATTCTAAAACACCACAAAGCCGCCAGGTTTTGGAGTCATTCTTGCAAACCTGCTCCAAAAATGCTTTGGGATCCCCACTTGAGTTGGTTTTGAGGTTACTTTTATTTTTTAAAAAGGCAGCTAAACCTGCTATGGGAGAACCAGCTTCCTGTGTTCCGGAGGGAGGGGAGAAGAACCGCACTGAAATGGCACAGGGTTTAGTGGGATCCCAGGAAGAAAATAAAATACTAGGAAAACAAAACTACATCATTAACTCAGTGCAGCCAGAATGAAAAGAGCACAAAGTTTTACAGCCGCCTCGGCTTTCCCTGGCAACCAACCGTCCAGATA